TTTGTGAACCCTGCACAATGGAAAACTTGCATAAGAAAAGCTTCCCAAAATGAAAACATACAACTAAGAAGATTCTAGGCTATGTTCATTCAGACATGTGGGGTTCGCCAAATGTTACTCTTAGTCTATCAGGAAACAAGTACCTCTTGGCGTTTACTGATGATTACTCAAAGAAATTATGGATCTATTTTCTGAAGACAAAGGATGGAGCTTACCAGAATTTTGTAGATTATAAGACATTAGTCGAGAATCAAATGGGAAAGAACCTGAAATGTTTAATAACACATAACAGGTTAGAGTTTTGTAACAATCAGTTTGACAACTTGAGCAGATAGTCAGGAATTAAAAAACATAAAACATATCCTTATACGCCTCAACAAAACGGCATATCAGAAAGGATGATTATGACTATCATGGACAAAGTCATAAGCCTGTTTAGTGAAACAGGTTTGGGTGGAGAATTTTGGGCATCAGCATCACATATAGCAGTCTAAATTATCAACAGATCACCATATGCATCTATTGATTTTGAGGTACCAGAGGCTCTATAAACAACAGGTAAACCTGGGTAAGGGCATCTAAGGAGATTCAGGTATATGGCTTATGTTCACACAGTACAAGACAGGATAAGCCCTAAAGCTACTAAAGGAGTGTTTGTGGAATATGCTTAGGGTACTAAGGGCTACAGTGTTTAGTTGTTAGATGATCAGAATATTACTATTAGCAAAAATGTTATATTTCACGAGGAAAAGTTGTTCAAAGATGAAGATTCAGACATGAATACATCTACATGTATTGAAGTGCTAAAGGCTAAGAAGAAAGTTTTCTCTAAGGATAACTTGGTAGATGTGGAACCTTCATAGTCTAAATTAGGAGAATCTTTAAGTCATGGTGGAACTTCCTCAAATTTTGAGTCAAAACAAGAGGAAAACATGAGTTCATCACAAGAAGAGTATGAGGATCAGTCAAAACAAGACAACACAATATGATCAAGAGAGTCAAGAATACAACCAGGATAGTCACCATTGGCCAGAAATCATTTTGGGAGAGAGCTTAAGAAACCGGCGAGGTATAGGGAAGGCAGCTACGTTGCTTATGATCTCACAAGTGCATAATCTATAGAGCTTGATAAGCCAAAGTCTTTCAGCAAAGCTCGTAATAACAAAGAGTGAAAGAAGTTGGATTTAGCTGCAAATAAAGAAATGGATTCATTAAATAAGAATCATACATGGGATTTGACAGATAAACATAACAATCAAAAGGTTATTGGCTGCAAATTGATATTCAGGAATCCCTGGAGTTGAACAACCTAGGTACAATGCTAGATTGGTGGTAAAAGGGTATGCTCATGTTGAGGGAATTGATTACAGTGAAGTGTTTGCACCAGTGGTAAAACATGTGTCGAATTGCATTTTGTTATCGTTAGTTATCAATCATGATATGGAGTTAGAATAGTTGGATGTTGATAAGAGTGTTTTTTCTCTTTGCAATTAAAAACTCTTCATAGCCAGTTGCAGTATAGCTCAAAGTTCTTTTGTCAAATTCAAGTGGGAAAGATGATCAAAGAGAATACATGAAATTCTGTAATCTAAGTCAAGAAAAAAAAATAGGTTTTTAAAGTCTAACAACTTAAGTGATCGCCAAACAGCAAAGAACAAATCATAAGCAGCAAAGCATAACAAGTAAATTTCAAACTTCAGAGTAAGAAACAGAGAAAACAGAGCAAAACATTGTAAATACAGGGGAGATTCGAAATTAAGTCTTAGGATGGGTGTCATTGATCTAAGATGACCATTGGCCTCAAACAAGATGTTCAAATAATCAATGAATGCATGATCTTTTAGCATAGAACTCTAACAAGCAAATCAATCCACTCTCATGATAATGATTCCTTTAAAAGCAGCCTAATCATGATATAATTCTCATTAGTGATCAGAAAACAACCAAGCATAAAGAAATAATTATATCTAGCAAATATGCTCCCTAGTCATCCACTCTCATGTGTAAGGATAAGCAAATCCACTAAGAGGTTGGTTCATGCATTTCAACAAACACTTTTGATGCAAGGAAACCCTAGGTTCGAAATTCAGATGATCAGAAAGAATCAAGCATTAAGAACACCTAACAGTGAATGATCTAACATCATATATCCCTAAACATCATGTTTTAAGCCTTGAATCATCCTAAATCAAATCCATCCTTAAACCCAGAAAATACTACTCACAAATCATGGTTGATCTATCAAATACAGAGCTAAAGATGTAAGAAATCATGATCAGAATCAAGATATAGAAGATCAATAACAGAAAATGTAAACTTATATTAAAAACTCAAGAGAGAGAGAGAGATTAAAGATAAGGTTTCTTGGCTAAAGATAAGATAAAAAGCATAAAATTATGGATAAGTGAATAAAAAGATAAGGTTTTGCTTTTATAGTCAAGGGTCAAAGCCGGGTCAAAGGCTAAGTACGAAAGTTGACCAAAGACAAAACTGGTGGGAAGGAGCTTAGTATCGGCTCACTGCCCGATACAGGATGGTCGATACAGATTTCAGCTTGTTGATGGCCAGTTGGTTGATACATGTGCCCGATATTGGGACCTCCAGAGAACCGGTTTTAGCTCTATCTTCAGTGTCGGCTAACAGTCTAATACACTACCTGATATAGCCTGATGCCAGCTTTCTGGTCGATGCACCACTCTGATACAGATTGTATAAACTTGTCCAGCTCCTTTGAGTGCTTCTCCTTGCCTCAGCTTGATCCTCAACTCTCCAAACATCCTCCATTGCCCACATAAAGACCTGAAATGCACTCCAAATGCAAAAGAATATGCATTCCTAACACTAATGCACCCTAAATCTAATATCAATGCAAATAGGACACTTTGGACTATAAAATGGATGATATGCAATGAAAAATTATACTAAATAAAGCCTAAAATGATGTAATTATGCAAGCTATCAGATGTTAATGTGGCTTTCTTACATGGGGTTCTACACGAGACGATATACATGGATCAATCAGAGGATTTTATCAAGAATGGTCATGAGGTTTGTTTGTTAATGAAGTCTCTTTACGGGTTAAAGCAGTCTCCAAGGGAGTAGAATAACAGATTTGATCAGTTTATGGTAAAGTAGAGTACAAGCATAGTAGATTTGACATGTGTGCCTATCAAAAGGGTTCTACGGTTGAAGACAGAGTCTACTTGTTACTGTATATGGATGACATGCTAGTGGCATCAAGGAGTAAGGTTATTGTTTGAGATCTAAAGAAGCTGCTAAATATAGACTTTGAAATGAAGGATTTAGGTACATCAAAGAGAATTTTAGGTATGAATATTTTTAGAGATAGTGAAAAATGAATTCTAGTCCTATCTTAAGAAGAATACCTGAAGAAGCTACTCAAGACTGTTGAGATGTGGGATTGCAGAGATATCAATTTGTATGGTTCTCATTTCAATCTTCAGGAAACATTCAAAGAACAGGAGCAAGTTTAAGCAATAGAAATGGAGAACATACTTGATGCGAGTGCAGTAGGAAACTTGATGTATGCAATGGTGGGATCCAGACCTGATCTTTCATATGTTGTTGGATTAGTAAGCAAGTGTATAGGAAATCCTGTGAAAGATCATTAGTTAGCAGTTCAGTGGATAATGAGGTATTTGAAAGGAGCTGCAGCAGTAAACTTAAAGTTCACAAAGGGACAAAACTTCAAGGTGAAAAGATATTGCAACTCGAATTACGCTTCATACTTAGACATAAGAAGATTCATCTCTGGCTTCATATCCACGATTGGTGAAAACACTGTGAGTTGGAGATCCTTCTTACATAAGGTGGTGGCTCTATCTACAACAGAAGTAGAGTACATATCCTTGTCAGAAACAAGCAGACAAGCAATATGATTAAATAGCATTTGTGCAGAGATGGATTTCAAGAGTAGTGGAGATTCATTGTGATTCGCAGAATGTGATCTATCTAGCAAAGAATCATATGCTATATGAAATGACTAAGCACATTCAATTCAAGTACAACTACATCAGAGAGATAATCGATGATGGGGATGTGAAGGTTCTAAAGATTCACATTTCGGTAAATTCAGCAGACATGTTATTAATAGTTTTATTTGGAGAAAAGTTCAGCAGTTGCTTGAAGACGATGAACGTTATTGAAGCCTAAAGACTTTGTCAGGTTCACCATCGTCGATGATTTGAGAATACGGTGGATCCATAAGTATTGTTGTCTCAGGTTTTGTTTGACAACAAGTGTGACTCCGTAAGGTTAGATCGGCAGGTTGTTTATCCGGTGAAGGAGAAGCGGAAAGGTTGGTGATCTCGGCATAAGAAGTCATTGGTACTAGGATCAGAATTCATGGGCATGGTTGGAGTTTTAGACATGCAAATGGTTGGAATAGAATCACGATGGAGTTTTATGAGCTGTTGTTTCGCATTCCAGAATAAGTGAACTGAGGTGGGTTTCGTCTTGTGTAAGCAAAGTGTTATACAACAGAACCAGAGAAGTGATAGACCACATGATTTGTGGCAGGCCGGTTAACGATTGACTGAAACGGATAAACAGGAAAGAGAGTTATTATAACAACTTGTTATTTCTTCTTCCTTAATCTGATTCCCATTGTTGTATTTCTCAAGGATTCTCTATAAACACAAAAGAAATTTAGTAAATTTTCAAGAAAGATTCTTGAAGAGAGATGTATTGGTTTGGGAAAACTCTGTAAAAGCTTGTGTCATTACATCTTTTTTTTCTAATTTTTATCTTAACAAACAAATGATTGAGAAAGTAACGAGAGAGATTCATACCTGAATCAGCAATTGACAAAAACGTATCTGCTACACAAGTTTTAGAACTTGTTAGCATGTAAAGTTTATCTCGAAGAAAGTAGCACCAATTTTTTTTTAATTATTCTATTTCAAAATATAATGCATATTTTACAGCTATTTATGTAATCATTTGTATTCTTCTGGTACTAAACGTTGTAACTATGCTTGTATTTTGGTTATTTAATGAAAGCAATGTAGACTTAAGAAAAATTAAAAAAAAAAAAAATTGGAAATCTGTAAACATTTTTTTTGTAACTCGAAATTTGTTTGTTCTTTGTTTGGCTACTTTCGGTTAAGAACCTGATTCCAAGGTCTATAGCGAGATCTGAAGAAAAGAAAAAAAGGCCAGCAGAGTCGAAGAAATCGGCCAAGAAGGCTTACTTCTCTTTCTGATCGCTCCTGAATTCTCCAGAGACAATGGTTACTGCTTTCTCTCTATTTCCAGTCTGCTTCCTTTTTGATGTCTGACACTCAATTTTGATCTCTCAATTTTTCTTCTCTGTTTCCAGATCCGATTCATATTATTGCAGAACAGACAAGGGAAGACTCGTCTTGCCAAGTACTATGTTCCTCTCGAGGAATCCGAGAAACACAAAGTCGAATACGAGGTACAATCCACTCTCTATCTTCCTCTTTTTCTTCCCGTGTCCTACTCTCGTGTTCCTGATCCTCAGTTTTCCCTCCAGGTTCATAGGTTGGTGGTGAATCGCGACGCAAAGTTCACCAACTTCGTCGAGGTTCGTGGTTCAATTTCAAAATATATATTGTTCCTGATTTTGAAGAGCATTACACTAGTTTGATCGATTTTGAAGAGCATTGGCTTGTTGAAACTGCGAATTTTTCCTCAACTGGGTCAAATTCGTATTGTTAATTCGAGATGGAGATAGATAGGCCAAGCATTGATTTTGAGTTTCTAGGCTTCGTTTGCTAGATTATGTGCCATGGTTGGTATCAAGATCTTTATAACGAACTCCATAATCTTAAACAAGAACTCAACATTGTGAAACCTGTCATGTATAAAACGAATTTGTTCGTGGAACCATTTTCAGTTTAGAATAAATTTGTCATTGGTTGGTTAAACTCGTATTGTTAATTCTAGATGTAGATAGAACAAGCCAATCATCGAATTTAAGTTTCCATGTCATGGTTGTTATCAAGAACTCAATAACTGTGAAATCTGTCATGTATAAAATGAATTTGTTCTGCAACTATTTTTGATTTTTCAGTTTAGAACACACAAGGTGATATACAGGCGTTATGCTGGATTGTTTTTTTCCGTGTGCGTGGATATAACCGATAACGAGTTGGCTTACCTTGAGTGCATCCATCTGTTTGTGGAGATATTGGATCATTTCTTCAGCAATGTCTGTGAGCTTGACTTGGTGTTTAATTTCCACAAGGTAACAAAAAAACCTCTTTGTTCCTCTTGTTCTTTAAATACAGTTCCTTAAACCGCTTCTTGCTTAGAAGTTTTGAACTAATTTAGTAGATTCTCACTGATGTTTGCAAGGGCTTTCTTGAAATTCTCTTTCTAAGTGTCTATCAAATGAAGCTTGTGTTTGTTAAACACAACAAAAGCCTGTTTCTTTCTCTTCTCATTGTACTTGGTGCTTGAGAATGTGCATGTGTGATATATTTGTGTCTGTTTATGTAGATGCTACTGAGTTTGTACTCTTTGTAGATTCTAATAATTCCCTATTGACTTTAACTATATAGGTGTACCTGATACTAGATGAGTTCATTCTTGCTGGGGAGCTTCAAGAAACAAGCAAAAGGGTGTGTAATTATTTTAGTTTCAAGCTCTTCTTTTTCACTGAAATGTATAACACATGCTCCCTCTCTCTCTCTCTCTAGAACTAAACTTGTTATTGTTTGGAACAAATTTTCAACTTTCAGGCAATCATCGAAAGGATGTCAGAACTCGAGAAGCTGGAGTGATGACTGATTAGCGATTTCTTAAGAAGCTAGAGTGCTTGGCCAGATGTTTTAACTTCGTTGAGTTAAAGACAATGGTGTTGATAAGACTCGGATACAGAATGATTCTGCTCAGATTATCCATCAATTTTTTTCTCTGTGAGATTTTCATTTCACCTAGTGAGAGGTTACAGACATTGAATTCTGTATAAAAAACTGTTTTCATTTTGCAGACTCCCCTCGAAAACTCACTAACACCATTTCTATATTACACCTAGCATAAACAAAAGGATTGGTGGAAAAATTTGAACATAGCTTACACTATATTCTCAGATTCTTCTTAGATAAGAAGACAAAAGTGTTCCACACGGGCAAATTTGACAAAGATGTACCGCTTATTGTAAATCACATAAACAGCCAACATCAATGGAAGAAGAAGCAATTAGAGTTACTGATGTAGCAAATGCAACTTTACTGGGAAATCTACACAAATTCATCAATCAATCAAACAGACATGAACACAAACACTATTCATAATATGAACATCACTTACCCTAAATCCAAATATTCTTCTTAGATCAACAAAACTGTTGCACAAAAAGCAAATTTGACGAAGCTTCAAGATCATATCACCGGCAAACTTATGCAACATCCATGGGGAAATAAAGTCAGAAAGTGATAAAGAAAACAAGATCTTAAGAGGAGGTAGAAGACATCAAATCTTTGTCTTCTTCGGCTTCACAGGACACTTTACATGAGAATCATCCTCCTCACCTTCTTCATCAGACAAGATTTCGTCGGGGACATCATCTGGAACATTATGCTTTGTAATAAACTCCTTAAGTATCCTCATACTTTCCTCTTTCATCGAAACCAATTGGTCCAAGACAGTATCACCTTTGTTTGCATCAATGGTGTAGCTCTCTGTCCCAAGCCGGAATGCGGCTTCAACCAGATTCTTCGCAGGGACTGAATCGTGACTCTCAATCTCCATATTGTTAAGCCTGAGATTTAGTTTTTTATTAGTGTTCGAATCTCAAACAATCGGAATAAAGTTTTCCAAAGTTTTAGTGTTGTGAGCATATATTAAGCGGAGAACCCTAACGAATTTAATTTATCGGTACCTGAACTCAATCCGGGTCGAAGAAGAAAGCCAAAGGCGGATGGAGCCGACGATTAAGAGCGATTACAAAATTAGGGTGAGCTGATCGAAATATTCGGATTAATTGCTCATGTTTTTTTGTCGTCTTCTTCTGATTATATGAAAGCCCAATAAGGAGTAGTTTACATCCATATTGAGTCCAGAAGACCCAGCAAGCTGTTTACATGCTATCTGACACGTGTACCCAACATGTATTAAAAGTCACAAACAAGTGAAAAAAAAAGACACGTGTTTTGCCGATAGAATGAACTGTTACAGTGCCGATACTATGCCGGATACTTCCACCGTCGATGCAATCCAAATTTTGAAAGCTTAGAGAAAAAAGTACATTTGTTAATAGGTTTTTTTAGTAATAATTTAAGTTCATTAAAATTAAAAAGACTGTATCGACTTAACTCAAAAAAAATACTCTTTGAAGATATTCATCAAACATTGGATTAACTCAAAAGAATATTTAGAAAAGGAAGATTTTCATATTCTTTGAAGAATAATGGATATTTTCATATCGTAAATATAAAAATTCTTTTCAAAATTTGGATTGCATCGACGGTGGAAGTATCCGGCATAGTATCGGCACTGTAACAGTTCATTCTATCGGCAAAACACGTGTCTTTTTCTTTCACTTGTTTGTGACTTTTAATACATGTTGGGTACACGTGTCAGATAGCATGTAAACAGATTGCTGGGTCTCCTGGACTCAATATGGATGTAAACTACTCCTTATTGGGCTTTCATATAATCAGAAGAAGACGACAAAAAAACATGAGCAATTAATCCAAATATTTCGATCAGCTCACCCTAATTTTGTAATCGCTCTTAATCGTCGGCTCCATCCGCCTTTGGCTTTCTTCTTCGACCCGGATTGAGTTCAGGTACCGATAAATTAAATTCGTTAGGGTTCTCTGCTTAATATATGCTCACAACACTAAAACTTTGGAAAACTTTATTCCGATTGTTTGAGATTCGAACACTAATAAAAAACTAAATCTCAGGCTTAACAATATAAAAAACTCTATCTGACAACTCATACAATCTAGAGAGCAGCAGTGCTAAAACCAAGAACTCTAACGCTTTCTAGTTGACTTCATAAACACTTTATTTTCACTTCGGCATAACCTTTCGGTTATACTAATCTTTGTAATCGCTTCGCTTTTGAGCTATTTAATAAAGATATTATTCTCCGAAACCCACAACTGTTAATCAAAACCCTCGTGGTGATTTTCTGGTTCAACAGTGACCATTGGAATTGATCACCGGAAACTGTCAGATAGAGTGTTACAGAATATTCATCGGATCGCTGAAACGCCGATTCTGTAAGAACTCAAGTTACACTTAAACAAAAATAGCAAAGAGTTTGTGGGTTTAAGAGAATACAAATCGAAGCTTAGAGATAACAGAAAAATTAGGTCATCGGAAAGATGAACTAATTCAGAATTTTTATTGATTTATAGCTGAACCTTAAGAAAGGCTACTTATGTACCATTTAGAAGGGATCAAGCCATTCGTAGTTCGTTTACAAGAGAGTTAGAAAGATGAAATCTAGAAAGAACTAGGTTTCTCTCTAAGTGGCGTTTCTTAGATGTTATTAAGACCATCTCTTCAATGATCTGTGCTTCTATTTATATAGAAGCTAGGTCGGTTGAGATAGATCTTCTTTTCCTTTTTAGCTTTAGTTTTTCCTTATTTCCCGAAGATTTTCCTTTAACTCGGAAATTTCCTTTTCCGACGAGCTTCTAGAGTATTTTAATTAATCAGATGGGCTGATCTTGATTTGCGCAGGGATTTAAGAGAGGGTGCTAAAGCCATCTATAACAATAAGCCCCCCCCCAGTTCAGCGAGCGAGTGTAATCAAGGTCGGGGAACTAATAGAAAAATCCAGCTTGGTGTAAATTTAGATCAGCCAGTGTTAGCAAAAATCACTAGCTCGGGATAACTTGTTGAATGAGTTTAACAGAAAACCTGACTTTATTGAGTTTGACGAGCTGACGAGTTTAGTAAGGTTTGACGAGCTAAAGGGCTCGATGTATCATGACAAGCGGAAGAGTCTCAAGTGTAGCGCGACGAGCTGAGTAGCACGGGAGAACTCACTAAAGTGTAATGCGCTGAAGTGTGACGAGCTAAAGAGCTCGGGAGAAATATAACGAGCTGAGGAGCTTGGTTAATTATGAGCTGAGGAGCTCGTGAGTAGTATGAGCTGAAGAGTTTGGGAATAATATGAGCTGAGGAGCTCGGGTGTGATGAAACCCTGTTTAAATTGGCTTGATATGACTGTGATTCATGCTTGGCTTTTGTTAGAGTTCTAATACGAACGCGATGCGATATCGGCTTTAAATTGTTGGTATGACTTAATATTTCTAAGTCTAAATGTAAAACAGCGAGATTTGCTCGGCTTTATTCGTTTACATGACATAGAAATTTCCTAAGTGCGAATGTAAGCATGTGAGATCAGCTCGGCTTATATTTGCTTACACGACTAATGACTTTGCAGGATTGGTCCCAACTTTATCAAAGTAAGTGCGAATACAAGCGTGCGAACAGGTCGGCTTGCATTGCTCCGTACGATTTTATATTCTTAAGTTCGAATACTAGTATGCGAACAGGTCGGCGTCTTTATTAGTATGACTTAAGAATTTTCTAATTTCGAATATAAGTGTGAGGTAGATTCGGCTTACTCAATACACGACCTTGAAATATGCGAGACTGGACTCGGTTTTGAAGATTTCCGAGCTAAGTGAAACACACTTTTCTCATCAATCATGGATTATTTCACCACAGCGTCCATGAGGAACGCATGCAAGACGGGTCTTGGCTTTTAATTTGCAGAGCTAAGTTGATCAGACTTAACTTTAGGCTTTATCGAATGTCTGGCCTAGACATTGATGTGTTATAGCCCGGGAGCGTAAAAAAGTTGATAGCTTGGGAGCGTAAAAGAGATAATAGCTCGGGAGTGTAAAGAAATAATAACTTGGGACCGTAAAAGAGTTAATAGCTTGGGAGTGTATTGAAGAAGAGCGAGTAGGTACAAATCTTTGAAGGAAGATGTAATAATTTAGGTAGCTCGAGAGCTTGACTAAAGAAGATAAGCATGTAAAAATCTTATAAAGATGAAATAACGTATCCGATCTTGACAATTTGAGAGTAAGACAGTGGAGTTATCTGATGAAGACATTGGAGTTGGCCGGATTTTCCTTGATATTTGGATCTTTGTTGCTTTGCTTTGGTCATCATTATCTTCCTTGTCTGATTTTTTGGTGCAAAGAAGTTCGGTTCGGAGTGGCGAACTATTAGATGATGTAAGATAGCTCGGTAAAAGACAAGCTCTAACACAGCTCGGTAAATAAGATGAGTGGTCTGATAGCTCGGGAAGACGAGTTGTAAGTGGTAACGTAGCTCTATAATAATGGCGTCAAAGATCGAAGAATCAAGGTGTAAACATCGGTTTTCCATCAAAAGAGAGCTCGAAGAAATCTGTGTAAATGTTAGTTGAGTGTTTAAGTGTGGCCTAGCTCGGTAGTTCCGTACGAAAATGATTTTTCCAAATTTAATCTGGTAAATAGCATAAGCTTAGCTCGGGAGCGTTCCTTTTTTTTTTTTTTTGGAAAACGTATTCTTGAACTTGGTATCAAAGTGATGATGTGTTTAACTCGACGAGCTTGGCGAAGAGAGACGAGCTGTGATATAGCTCGGTGAAGAAAAAGGAGTTGTGATGAAGCTTGGTAAAGATGATTACAGCTCGTTAAGGAAGATAAGCTAATGTGGTGTGAACATGAATATCACAGGCTGTAATGTAGCTTGGGTATTGAGTAAGATGTGAGGTCGGCTTCTAATGAGCTCGGGAAATCGTTTTTATTGTACTAATTGCAAGACTCGTAACTCGGCTTTCAATGGTGACATCGGCTTTCAATGTGCAAGGCTTACAATGCTCGCACAGTGGAGGCTTACGAGGCTCTACAACGTAAAGAATGTGCAAGCTTGAATGTTACAAGCTATATTATAGCTCAGGATTAATTTAGCTTGAAAGTGCGAGTGTCTTATAATATAGCTCGGGAATCCGTATGATGGACTGATAAATTCGGTCGGAGAGTCTTGAGGAAGACCTTCAGATATGAGATGAGCTCAGGTTAGACAACGAAGTGTGAGTTCGGCTTTGGCTGTGACCAAGTGTGAGTTTGCAATGTTTCAGATTTTCTTCCTCCAAACTGTTGTGGTACTCCGAGATATTTTCCACCACCTCCTTCATTAAAGATTCCCAAAAGTTGGCATTGTTTTGTCTTTACTTGAGGTTTTACCTTACTACCAAAGGTGATTGCTGACTTTCGTAAATTAATTGCTGGCCTGAAGCTGCTTCATATAATGATAGTACTCGTTTGATTTCTTTTGCGGATTTCTCATTTGCCAAAGAGAAGAAGAGGGAATCATCTGCAAAAAAGTAGATGGTTAACATTGGGACAGTTTTTTGCCAATTTCATTCCAAAGATCTTCCTGGTCATTGCTGCCTTATGTATCAGATTGGAGAGAACTTCAGCACATATGATGAATAGATATGGTGATAATGGATCACCCTGTCTTACTCCCCTACTTGGTGTTATATATCTCTATGGTACTCCATTTATTTAAACAGAGTATGTGACTGATTTGACAAATTCCATGATCCAAAATATCTATTTGGAATGAAATCCCATCTACGTCATGGTTTCTTGTAAGAAAGTCCATTTCAGGCGATCATACACCTTTGTGATGTCTGTCTTCAAAGCCATATATGATTTCGAGTGACGTTTACTTGATTTAAAGGCATGATAGTACTCATGTGCTATGATGATAGTGTCCGTAATCATTCTTCTAGGGACAAATGCGGTTTGGTGTTCAGAGACAATTGTTGATAGATGTTGCTTGAGTCTATTTACTAGGATCTTTGAAATGTTCTTGTAGCTTATATTGCATAATGCAATTGGCCGAAAATCCACCATTGTTGTAGTAATGGAGTTCTTCGGGATGAGACAAAGATTTGTGTGGTTTAAAGACTGATCTGTCATTCCTTCCTTGAAGAAGTGTTGGACTTAAGTAATTATCGTTTCTTTGATATCTGGCCAGAACTTGTGGTAGAAAGCGCCTGAAAATCCATCAGGTCCAGGTGTTTTATGAGCGCCTATCGAGAATACTGCAAT